AGCCACCAGCTTTGCTTCCTGGCTGCTGGCCTTCTGCCTGAGGATCCAAATGTTTGGGGCTTCATGTTCTTGGGGCACTGATCTGGCTCCCTGGCCACATGCCCAGGGCCTGACATCCAGCTTCTTGCTCCCAAGGCTCTGTTCTGGGAGTCCTGGATATTGGCCCCACAGCTGGGTCTCTGCTCCTGGCCCCTCACACGGGGTCCTGGCTGCATGGTCCATGCCCAGGGCTCTGCTCCTGGCTCCCATCCTTTACCCCGTTACCAATGTTCCTACCCTGTATCAGCCCTGCCCAGTCATTGAGTTCCATGCACGGAGTCCTGAGCCTCTGACTGGATAGGGCTGATTAATCACCTGTGAAGCTGTGCTGCTGTGCAGCTTAGAGGGAACATTGCCCCTTACTTCTGTTCAGGTCCCCCGTAAAATAGGGGAAAGTATTCCAATTAATATTGATCCCAATCTGCACAAATGACAGCTACGTGGATTGGGACCAATATGAATTGGAACACATTCCCCTATTGATGAGTGGTGGATATGTGAAATAGATTAAGAGGAGATGAATACCAGGGACCCTGTGATAGTACAAGCATTCTTATGTTGTTATATCTGCATCCACTCTATGTGAGTGTAGTTAAAGTGATACTGCTCTTGTATATGTAGACATTACCTTTGCTTTGCTACCACACAGTGGACTTCCACTCTTTTCTTCCAGTCCCGCTAGGCTAAATTCTTGGACCTTACCTATATTAGACTTTTTTTTCTTAGCAGTAAGAACTCTTATGTAGGAAGACTGTTGGCATTTCAACCAGTGTTGTCTTGACCTGTTCTGGAAGGCAGGTTGAGATTTGTTCTTTTAGAATTTTGCGCTAAACCCCCACACAGTGCCATTAACCATTTCCTAGGTGAAATTTTCCTGGGGATTAGCAACTATCCTAAATGCTAGTAAGTTGCACAGCCATCATAAGTTAAAGCAGCCTTATGGTTATTCTAATTTCAAGTGGGGGCCAATTCAGTCCCAGGAATTGGAGGGAGGTTGAAAGATGCTGAGTGTCAGACTGGCACAGCTATAGTAATAATGGTAAATACATAATTTAAAAATAAAAAAAATAAATATGCAGATTTTGTACATAAATATTGTCATTGAAAAAGTTAATTTTTTCTTTTTTTTTTAACCAGTTCACAAATCTTTGTTGACAAGCAGGACAGAGTCTCCTGTCATCATCACCATAGATACTTTGCTGCAGGGAGCTGTGTTGGTGAGTATTTGTAAAGAGTCTCCCGTCAGTGGGTGGGGCACAGCTGACTCTCTAGAGTGCCCACAAGTCAGTGTGGCATGCCTTCGCCTTGTAGTTGGCCGAGCGACAACTTCCTACAGCCTAGCCTGGGGTCAGAGCGCCAGGTCAAGGGGGAAGCACGGAGGGTTTATGAACACAGTTTGAGGCGCGGCCCTGAGTCAGGGTGACAAGCAGTGGAGGAACAGTAGTTAAAGTTCTGGCCGGGTTCCAGCCAAGCAGGGGTCGGGTTTCCCTCACTCCTGAAAATCTGACAAGCACAGGGGGAACCTGCCATCCAATGCAGGCCCACCCACTGTACTGTGTCCCGGCCCAGGGCCCTGATAGTGGCGGCCTGGCAGCTACTAGGTCGGCGGGTATCCAGGCCGTTACATGCCATCGAGGTCGAGGGTCATCCCCCCTGCGGGACTAGTAGACTCTGGTGCTTCTCCGGGGTGTCGGGCTGGCAGGGTGTCCATGGGCTCCGGGCTCAGGCAGGGATCCTGGAGGGCTGGTCCAGTCGTCGGTGCCCAGCAAGGGTCCCGGTGGGATCAGTGTGGATTCAGGCGGAGGCTGGTGTCTCTTCTGCTCAGGCCAGGGCTCCGGAGTCTCCTCTGCCCTGGGGGCCTCTGCTGCAGGATTTGGGTTCAGGCATCCGCTCAGCTGGGCTGCCTGGCTTTAACTGAGCCCGGGGCTCATATAGTCCTAGACCCACCCTTCAAGGGTCACAGAGGGTACTTCCTCTTCCGCGTCAGCAGGCGGCCCTGTTGCTGTCCCGGACTCATTAGTATTCCATACTGAAAGGAAAATACCTTTCTTCTTGGTTGTCATTAAAAAAATCCCTGTGACTCCTTTTACACACACTGGTGTCCTTTTGTCCATTCATGGTTTACAGCCGTACAGGCTTTCAAAGTGTTAGGAAATCTTGTTGTTGTTTTATTTCATCTCTGAGCTGGGACATTTACAAATAGAATTTAAGTTAGCAGAATATGGTTCTACTCAAGCCTCGTTTTCTTCTAAGTATATGTTAACAGAGGCCTGTCTAATTCTGTATCTCAGTTGGGGATTGTGGTTACAATGTATTATAGGTTGGACCTCCGCAAACTGGCACCCTCTGGTCCAGCAACATCCATTGTCCGGCAGGACCATGGATGCTCCTGGACTAGAGAGCCCGGGAGCCTAAGCGCAGGAGGGCCAGCCAGGTTGGGGCAACAGGGTTAGTAGCATGGATGGGGGTAGCGCAAGACCAAGGCCAGGTGGCAGCCTCCAGCAGTTCTTACTCAGGACAGCACTGTTAAAACATTTAAAACTGAGCTTGACAAAACACTACCAAATCTCCCATAGGGAATACTGGTTGGAAACAGATTCAGTAACATACTAATGGTGTGTCTAGACTACCGAGTTTTGTTGACAAAAGTGGACTTTTGTCGACAAAACTATACCAGCGTCTACACTACCGCTGAGTTCTGTCGACATAACGTCGACAGAACTCAGCAGTTTTGTCGACGCTGGTATACCTCATTTTACGAGGCATAACACCTTCTGTCGACAGAAGGTGTTATTGCCTGTAGGGTTGCGTCCAGACTACGGGGTTCTGTCGACAAAGCAGCTTGCTTTGTCGACAGAACTCAATGTGTCTGGACGCTCTTTGTCGACAGAAGTTTTGTCGGCAATACTGTTGACAAAACTTCCGTCGACAAAACCCGGTAGTCTAGACGTACCCTATGTTTCTAAGATTTATTAAGTGAAGATACTGGCAGATTCTCTTCACTCAGAAATGTGTTCTAGCGAAATGCACTTCGACATGACATTTCTGTGTACACCATATTGTAGAGGTGACACAAGCACTTACTAAGTCAGAAAACTGTATGCCTTGGAGAACAAAAAAGTCAGGGATAAAATCCTAGCCCCATTGGGAGTCCATGACAAAACTCTCATTGGCTTGACTGCGACATGAATTTAACCCAATGTGTTTATTAATATAGTGGCATGTTTTGGCCAAAGTCTTCTAGGTTCCTATTGCTATATAATAAATACTAGGAGATTTACCCTGCATTACTTGGGCTCTTAAACATTTTTTTTTATTTAAATCTTTGTTCTCGGGTGATGCTAGGGATGAGGGGTTCAGTATGCAGACTTTTCTGAACCCCATCCCTCTTGTACTGCAGTAGCTTGGGGCCAAATGAGAAGCTCATCTCCCATTCGGCCAGCATTCACAGCCAGGGGAGGGATGCATGTCCCCCAGTTGGGGGACAGACACACACACACACACAGACTAATAGACACACAAACAAGTTATCTGAAATAGATATTAATGGTCCCTTTCTTCACCCCTGCCCCCTGCTGGCCCAATGGGATTATAGCTGTCCCCTCCCCCCCTCTTGTGGTCATTCTGCAGTATAACTGACCCTCCTGCCAGACCACTCCCTTTCCATTTTGTGAGAAACAATCAAATTCCAGGCACATCCCATTATCTTGTTACAACCAGATCCTGACCTTGGTTTAAGTTATGACAAGAAGATGCATATCAAATTTGGTGGTCCTACCTCTTACAATTTAGGAGGAGTTCTTGAACAAACGGACTCACAGACTGAGAGATGTACATTTTTAAAATGTATAGTAAGATTGAGATTTTTGGCTCATTACTCAATTGACTTTATCCGTGCAAGATAGTCTTCATTTGTCAATGTGCTTTTTGGAAGTTCCTAGACCCCTCATAGCCCCCCCTTCCGATAGTCTGGCATATTTGATAATCCAGCACCCCCTGGGTCCTAAAGGTGTCGGATTATCGGAAGTTTACTGTACTTGCATATTCAAATCCTTATCTTGCTTTAAGATACGATAAAAAGAAGCTGCATACCGTGTTTGGTGGTCCTAGCTATTACCATTTACAAGAGTTCTTGATCAAACAGACTCACAGATGAAACGACAGATAAGCATTTTTAAAATACATAGTAAGATTTACAAATAAAAAGATAACATAGCCCATTCGTAATCAGGATAAACTGTGGAAATGGTAGAACAACTTGGACAGATTTTAATGACCATTGCTTGTGCTGAATGTGGATAGGATAAGAGGTAAGGATTGTGGGTTTTAGCATGTCTGGCTTATTTCAATTTTCTTACTTTTAAGGGGCTGTTAGACTTTCTTTTTGAGGATCAGCCAAATTTGTGTGTAGTTAGCAATGGAGCTGAGTGTTTTAAAATCTCAAAGAAGTTTTATCTGCATCATGCTTCCAAAGATCTACTGCAGAGGCTGCGGAAAAAAGTAGGTACACATTTGTATGTTTTATGACTACATCCTTGCTAAATTAGATTAGCTTTTCATCTGCATATCTTGTACTGTTTGCGCAGTTGTACATGTGGAATATTTAGACATTAAAATCATGAATGCACTTAAAACAATCTGAGGGGAAAGAAAGAAGCAATTTAAAACATAGCATTAGTTACCTGATTTAATAGTCTTTGAATGAGCATAGTATTAAAGAAACAGCCAATTAACATGATCATAAACCACAAGTAAGATTTTCTCCTGGGGTGGAATCATCACCCCTCCCAATCATTTGGCCTCTTTATTCTGGGTTACAAAGCCCTACAAGTACTGTTTCTAGTTAGGGAAGCATTCCCCTGCCACAGGCACTGTGAGTCTGCGTAATGCTGCTTCCTGAGGACCCCCTTGTTGGTCTTGCTTGCTTAGAGGCCCACAGAGAAACTGGGGAATGCGATAATGTGGACAGGTTCTAGTTGCAGCTTAGGTTCCAGAGGGTGCAAAGGTGGCTTAAACCCACCATAACCTCCTATCTCATGAGCAGCAGAGCTGTGAATTCTGGGGGTCATACTGATACAGCACAGAATGCCACTACTCCTAGTCTTGATTTGTAAGCAACATTGCATGTAACAGTACATTTTTAAAAGTAGGGTGAAGATGGTCTTGTGCAAAATCAGCACTCTAGATGATTTTTGTTCATTAAAATAAATCCGAAGCATGGGGCACTGTGCAGGTTACATAATTACTGAATATTTTGTTTATATATTTGAAATTCAAATTTCTACATAATTTTCTTCTGTAGCACTAGCTCATGGCAAACATTCAGACTTGCTCTTGGTTGGCTCATTATATAACAAGTCCTTGTGGGCTGTTTTGGTTCTCTGATTGGATAAACTATAACTAAGACGACAAATTACTGTTAAAAATCTAACATGCAGATTGAAATATGTATGCATGGAATACTGTTTTTCATAAATGTTTTGACTTGTAAAGTTTGGCTTCTGACAATCAACCTTAAGTCAGTCTCATCTGATTTTTGTTGTTGACATGAGTGAATTCACATTACCTTTTTCATGGATTCATTTCCATTAAAATTAGTGTGCATTTTCATATACAAAGATAGAGAAGAGGTTTTCACCGTGCATTGTTCCTGAGAGATTTTGATTAGGGACTGTCTTTGCCACAGGAACGTTCCTATCCCAGTGAGGCAGAGCTGAAGGAACAGCTGCAGCAGGAGATACAATGGCAGATTTTTCGCAAAGCATCTTTAATGAACACAGTTCAACAGATTGAACTTAAACGCAAACTGCTTCAACATTCCTATATGAGTAATGAGCTTTACCCATGGTGGAAGAACTGACTTGTGCACAAATTTTTGCAACAGTAGAGCTATCAGTCCATACCCGCTTACGTGGCTAAAACATCTATCTCCAGACATGAAAGATGGCAGTGTTAAATCAGGGCTATAATGTCTTCACTTTTAGGATGGGCTACAGTAGCAAAAACATTAAGGGAAGTGTCTTCTCTCTGTGTGTTAATACCTAGTATTATAAAACTCTTTGCTTCATGATAATTACCTCTGTGATAGACATCTGTTTTATTATCTACCAATCTTCTACCCAACTGCTATCAAAAGTGAAGAAACATGAAGTTTTTTCTAGACAATTGGTACACACTGGATCAAAATGTCACAGCAGCCATTATCTATCAACTTCAATATAACTCACTGGATTAATTACACTGATTATTGCTGAAGGTAACAATAGCAGAGTTAGATTGTATGGTGTACCTTGTATAACAAGGCTATTATTATTTCCTGGAAAGAAACCAGGAAAGGCTTGAATATTTTCTGCTGGAGAAAACAGTGCATGAAAAATTTAGAATTTGCCATAGCATAGAAACAGAATATGATTTCAGATACTTAAAAATTGAATCTAATGTTGTGGAATTCTGTAGTTTGTATGAAAGAATAGGCTAATAACCTTGAAAAAACAGCCAAGAAGCTGCAACTATGAGTAGTGTTGGTGCCATTCTGGGTTTTACTTTAAAATACTCTGCCTTAATTAACCTTTACAATTGTACCTTACTACTTTTACTGTTAACTGATTGTTTTATATTTTAAAACTTGTCTAAATTATGCGTTAGTGTATGTAACTTGAATGCAGAAGTACATTTCTACTTCCAGGTAGTGTTTACTTAAATTGATTCACTGATATGGCAACTGTTTTTATAATTACTATTTAAAATATTGTAAAATGCCTGTTTTCTGACTTTGGACTCAAAGAAAATATCCTCCCTCACTTGATGGTTCAGTCTAGGAAAGGAGAGATAATTGCCATGTTACTGATTTTGTTTGAATCTTCTGTTTAAAAAAAAATGTATCTTATACATTTTGCAATTAATAGGAAATAAAACAAAATACAAAATCTATATTAGAATTTTATTATATTCTGGTGAAATCAAAGTAAAAGGAACATCAAAACATCCACAAACTGTGACTGAATGTTACCTTGTCATGGTCACATGGGGGACAAAAGTGCTTGTAAGAACAAAAGAATTAGAGGGATTATTAGAATTGTAACACTGGTGATACTTTATTTCCTGTATGAAGAATTTTATTCAGTAGGTATTAAAGGCTGAATGAAAGTCTACTACTGATTGATAAATGAACACAGAAAAATCCTAAAGAACCCAACTCTCATCCAAAACATCTAGAACTTTAATATTTACTGTTCTACCCTTATGCATTTTCAAGAGTGAATGATGGCATTAAGATGATGGTTAACAAACTGGTAACTTTATCATTTTCACCATGGTAAAGAGGGATGACAGACTTTAGAATTTATTTATACATTCACAGTAGGGACAAGATCACTTTTAAAGCTTAAATTCTATTGACACATGCCAATTGTGGTGGCACACCTAAAGCATCTTCTAGTCAGTCAGTTGAATTCAGATGCATCTCAGCCATCCTATCCTAGTCTAAATCTGTTTACCCCAGAAATATGCAGTAGTATATGAAGACTGGAACAGCAACAGTAGATTCTCTCTTTTTTTTTTTTTAAACACACACACACTTTCCTAAGGCCCTTTTTACATTTCTCCACCTCACCTACAGCAGTGATGCATAATATTACGTAAACATTTACTGAATTAGCACTTAGTTGAGGTAGCAGGTGAGAACAGAGGCAGCAGTAACAGAGTACTGTACTGCAGAGAAGATGGAATTTCTAGCAAAACAAAGGTACTACTTTGTTAGTTTTCTTATATTTTGGCAATATTATAAACTAAACAAACAAAAAGGAGATATCTCCCCATAGGAAAAAATCTTTCCAGAAAGAAACACTATTCCTATTAAAAAAAAAAAAAAAAAAAAAAGCCCTCAAACTAAAGACAGTTGAGAAGACAGTCTTCAGTAGTCTTATACGTCAGCAGTTTAAAACCGTCTTACAATTTCTATAGTTTTGAAAAGTTACCCTGCATATTCTCTTGTGAACATGAAAACACATATACATTTAAGTGGAAAACACCACAGCCATAAGTAAAACAAATTCATATGCACAGGAAAGCACTGGTATTTGTTGGTGGATCTGCGTCTTTTTTTCTACTTAGTTTCAAATAAAGTTCCCGAGTATGTAAGGAGACAAATGACACTGAATCAGTATTATCTTAACAGAATGTGTGTGCACGTTTTAAGCACATTTCTTTCTCTACTAGATCTTAGGAATTGGCAGTCCTAAGGCATTACACATTGGCAAGTGGCTGCTGCTTGGTATGTTCACTGGCAGGGGGATTACCAGTATGATCTTTTCTCTCCTGCTTTTTCCAAGGTACGTTTCAGAAGATAAACTGCAGCATGAAGTCCCCCTATATTCACCCACAGTGTATGACCCTTTTGCCATAAGTGTCCCATTTTTGACAAGGCCTACAATGCAAGAAAAAAATGAAAATTAGTATTCGTGGAACTGGTTCCGAAATATATGAATAAGGTTGCCTAATTCCACTTATGAGCCTCTATTCAAAGACTACCTTTTGCCAAATTTAATCATTCAAAGCTGAAATTTTCCAGGCAGTTTCATTCTGTCTTAAGAGATTTAAAAAGAAAAAACTTTATCTGGCATTTCAAAGAATAAGGTAGGGAGAAAGTGTAATTCTCATACTTTCTACTTTAAGTGCCTGATTCTGCTACCTTAATGTTCTTATTGTCATTTTGTTTGTAAGTTTATTACACTGAGAATACACAGACTGATCCTTCACTTTTGGAATTTACAGGTCAAACACCTGTATAAGTAGTTTCACTTAAACTGCTTTTCTGACTTACTCAAAACTGAATACTGTGTCATATGTTATATTTTTGCAATTTACTTCACCCATTAAGCTTCAGTGTCCTTAAAGTCAATCTTCCTCGGCTTTTTGAATGGAAGGAATTAAGAACAAATATATGAAGAGAATCAGTTAGTTTTGGAATTGGGATGGTTTTTTTTTAAGAGAGATGAGAAGTGTTGGGGTATATTTTTTAAGTGTGTCTAAAGATGTTTCAGTTATGTGTGGAGTTTTATTCCTAGAAATTTGAAAAACGCAATAGCGAAAAAGTAGTAAAATGTGAAAGGCAAACTTCTCTAAATTTGTAGTAATGATTCAGATTTGACCGGGGTGACATAATACATCAGTAGTTCTATACACAATACACTGTCAGAAGCATGAATTTTACATGTTAGTTTATTAAGTTCACCTTTGTAATTTAGGTCTAATCACTTCTAATACTGAAACAGCAGAAATCTATTCCTTAGAAAGGGACGTGAATCTAAGATAACTTTACTGCAGAAGAGAATCTAGCATCTAGTTTAGAAAGAACATTTTAAATTTGCATGTCAGTTAATTTTGAACACAGTTTTAGGCCTTAAGCTTATATTGACTTTTCTCTGTCACTGTGGGTGTTTATAAGAATAAATAAAAATAAAAAAGAATCGCCAAAGAACAATCTGTGATTCTATACCTTGGCAAAACATTTCCTGTCTTGGGTAAGTAGTACTGCTCTGCCTGTCCCAGGTCGGCAGATGCGACTCATCTCCATAAGACAGGCTGGATAGAGATCCCAGTTCTTCTTCTTCGATCCTATCCTAGAATTAAAAATATAGACTTGTTTAGTGAATGTGTGTTTGTAGAGCAGTTGAAGACTAACTGAAAATGAACTAAACTTGCAGCACCTTAGAGACTAACAAAACATGTAGATGGTATCATGAATTGTCATGTGCACAACCCACTTCAGATGAATGAGTTAAAGGTTCAGTCTTTCAATAAATAGTGGGGGGGGGGGGGGGGGGGGAGAGAATAGTCAATGTCTATGCTAAATGAAGCTGATAGCCGAGTAAAGCATCTATTGAAAGCTTCTACTTTGCTGATTTCTGTTAATGCTATTCATATGCATTATCATTTTTGCACTTGAAGTTATGAGTATTGGCTGTGCACGTGTATTTAAAATGCTTGCTTCTGGGAGATAACAGGAGGCTTGGCCAATCATTGTGAAAGGGTTGCTAGTCAAGTGAGTAGCAGTACTTCATTAACAATGTAGGTCAGGTGGTGCTAATCCACATCTGATGAGCTTTTCTATAAACATTCAGACCAGCATGTAAGTAATGGCTACTGCCTAAAGAAGGCAAGTCCTGCATGGACAGTTGACTTACTCATACGACAAATTCCATCTTTGGACATAATTTAACACAGCAAGAACAACAGGATTCCCTCCACACGGACAAGGGTATAAAGAGGGCCCTGAAAGCTCCTCCATTTTGTCTTCAATCCAGCTAATCAATGAACTAAAGCCTGAAAGGACTGCTGACCCATATTAACTAGGTATAGGCAGTCCCCGGGTTACGTACAAGATAGGGACTGTAGGTCTGTTCTTAAGTTGAATCTGTATGTAAGTCAGAACTGGCGTCCAGATTCAGCCGCTGCTGAAACTGACCAGGGCCCTGAAAGCTCCTCCATTTTGTCTTCAATCCAGCTAATCAATGAACTAAAGCCTGAAAGGACTGCTGACCCATATTAACTAGGTATAGGCAGTCCCCGGGTTACGTACAAGATAGGGACTGTAGGTCTGTTCTTAAGTTGAATCTGTATGTAAGTCAGAACTGGCGTCCAGATTCAGCCGCTGCTGAAACTGACCAGCAGCTGACTACAGGAAGCCCGAGGCAGAGTTGCTCTGCCCCGGGCTTCCTGGAATCAGCCTCTGATCAGTTTCAACAG